GCTAAGGCTGTCACCCATATCAGCTTCAATCATCACAGCACTTTCCTGTCTTCAGTCTGCTGTAAGCTCTGACCAGCCTCATATTCTGAATCTGCAGAGTGCTTCTTTAACCTCAGCTGGCTCATCCTGTAAGGTTGCAGTTCCTGACCTGATGTGTGGCCAGACTGTTCCAGCCTGGATCTCCTACTGTAAGTTCTACCAACAACTATTGGCACTTGTGTTCTTCTTGTCCCTTGGCACCATCTGTTTCACCTTCAGTGGGGCCTGGCCTGGAGATACAATCACAGCCAGTGAGCCAATCAGGAAAGGGAGGGGGTGAGGCTGAGACATGGCTCTGTGTGTGAATGGACATGCAGAGCCGCAGCTTGGGAGCAAGAGAGAGTGCTCGGGTACCCCCATAGCAAGCTGTTTGCTATGGGGGCACCCGCCAGGAGGGAGGGGCCAGAACCGGTGGGGGACCTGAGGAGAGGAGGATCAGGGCTGCTCTGTGCAAAACCACAGCACAGAGCAGGTTATTATATGATGTGTTTGTTATTTTGAAAAACAAAACTAAAACAAACAACAAGATTTTAGTATCACTTTAAAGTACAGAGCAAGTATGGCGCATGCCTTGTCTCTCTCCCCCCTGACACATTGTAGTTACTATGTTTTAGTCATATGTGAATTAAGAGCGTGAAAAGTGATCTGCATATTATGTTGTTTAAAGCAACTTTACAAATTAAAATAAAGTTTTATAAAGTTTTTTTTCTTTTTAAATACATTTTGTTCTTGTTAAATCCCTTATTAGCATAAATGTATAATATTTTTAGTTTTGGATAAAATAGATTTGCAATCCCACTCAGTTTATTTGTCTCTGTCCCTTTCTCCTTGGAGGGGATTTATCTTTACTTCTTGTTCTGGAAACACAACAGGATGAGACAGAAAGCATCTCCAAAATGAAGGTATAATTTTTCAGTTGGAACCAGAACAGGATTCCCAATTGCAATATTTTCCCTCACCTCCTGTTTTGGTGACAACTGTAAAACTTTGTATTTGACACTATTTTCTGTCTTGTTGACAAGGGATACAGGGAAAAGTTTTGGGTATATACAGTACACATTTAACCCTTAAATAACCCTGATCAGTGCTAATTAACTCCCTCTCATCCCCCTTTTGTATTTCTATTTGTCCAAAGTCTTCTCTCAAGCTGGATGTACCTATGGAGTAAGTCCTTTTACACTTGAATAGGGCAATATTCCTACATTAGAGTTGTTAGGAATAAGGTTCCATTCAAATTTATAGGAATCTATAGGGGCTCACTGTGGAGGCGCAACTAGCACCAGAGAAGATGTTGGGCAAAAAGGGCAAGCACCAAGAGAGGTTGCCGATGTAATAAGAAGACAAGTAAGAACCTGAGTAGGGGAGTCTGCACATTAAAGTATTTAAATATTCTGAACAAGCATTAAAATCACTTTAAAAAATAAGCTACTATTCACCCATGTTGCTACAGGCATTGTAGACAAATGTATAATCAAAATACACATCAAAGCACTGAAAGTACTACTTCTTTCCCTCCTATCTTGACTGCCTGCCAGTCAGGCTCGATTCACACTGCCGCGACTTGGGATCTGACTTGTAAGACCCCAAGTTGCATGACATGTGAAATCCCATGTTAGTCAATGTTAGTCAATTAGAGTTGCCTTAATTAACACTATTGAAGTCGCTCCGACTTTAGAAAAGGTTCCTGTACTACTTCAAGGCGACTTCTATCCGACTTGTGCTTATAGACTTTAATGGATGTCGCCTCCAAGTCGGCTCCTCGCCTATATTGATGTGATCTTGATCCGACATTACAGGAAGATTACCCAGGCAAAGTTGCATGGTATGAAAGTCACGCATCAAGTCACATCAAAGTCATACTCAAGTCGCATTAAGTTGCCAGCAAATCACCAGGAAGTCAGCTGGTAAAGTCGCACCATAAGCCGTGTGGCTTTCAGGTCGCAGTAGTATGAGCTGTGCTTTAATGTAACCAAACACCAGGGAGGGGGAATTAAAACTGTGGTATCACCTGCATGTAATGTCATTGTAATTGATTGGTATCACTTGGTATCCATTTAAAGTACCCTCAAAATCCTTAAATACTCTGCTACTTTCCAATGTTGCACAATCCTTGAAATATTCCTCAGATATTTCCCATTTTCTTTATTTTCTCCAGATCTAATGTGAGGAAATTCACTTTCTTCATTCAGCTGCATATATTCTACCTCTAATATTTTATACAAAAAATATTTAATCCCTCACAAACAATTTAAGCACTTTGGGCTTGTTACTTTTTGTTAAAGGTCCAGCCATATCTAGTCAGAAGAGTGAAGAGGACAGATGAACAGACTACCTGTTGTGAAGTAAATAGTTCTATGACAGTTGTGCTTGTGCCATTTTGTACTTCGTACTAAATTTATTATAGCAATTTGCACCAATTTGTTAAATTTGGCACACAGTCAAATTGGTGTGCACAATGTACCTGCGATGCAACATTTTGCCTGCAATGAATGCTTGATTTTGTTTTTTTTCAACAGTTGCGTTTATTGAAGATGTACAGTGATACAGACAAACAGAGGTACATAAAACCTAATCAAGCGGGCAATATATGACAAGGTAGACAGAATACACTAATATTCTGAAACAGAAGAGTCCTACAATATAATTCTGTATTCCACCCAAGACATGACTCGAGCAAGGTAGTCAAACAGAAACGTAGTATGACCCAAAGGCCGGTGTGCAGCCAGGAAAAGGGGGCCGGGGGAGAATGAGGGGAATAAAGCAGGGGGGGGGGGGGGGTAGGAGGAGGAAGAAGGGGAAGACATAGGGCATGGGAGGAGAGATCAGGTGCTACAGGTAGCACAACACACTGTTCAGGTGCTACAAAAATCTTCAAATAAATAACTGGAGACATCACAACCTACTGTGAAACCCTGTGCCTCCATCCACCCAGCCCAGATTTGATCAAATTCTGCTTGACAGTTGCGGCTTATGTATGTAAGCTTATAGAAAGGAAATGCCTGCCTTCCAACCAAAGATTGTGGGTGGGGCTGGCAGCTTCCATCTCAACATAATTTCTCATCTAGCATAATAAGTAGAGAAGACAAACAGCTTACTATGCTTAGGTGCCTCCACAAGATTAGTAAGTTTCAATAGCAGTATCAGCGGGTCCATATAAACAGAGAGGTTACCATCTGCATTCATAGCGTCCAATAGCCCAGTCCAAAAAGGACACAGCCTCAAACATAACCAAAACATATGGTTAAACGTGCCCTCAGCCATATCACAGTGGGGACATGCCGCCATTCTACCAGGATAAATTGCAGCCAGTCGCTGAGGAGTATAGTATACTCTATGGATAAATTTCAATTGTACAAAGCGATCTCTGGCAGAGATCATAGTAGGTAGATATTGCAAAAGGCAGTTCTCCCAGTCATCTTCTGTCAGAGACGGGTGGTCTGCGTGCCATTTACTATAGAGTGACTCCATTCTAGGGGTAGTCAGAGGGGATAGCAAGGAGTGGATAGAGGACAAAGGTTTAGGTTTCCTCTATGAACAAACTTTCCAAGGGGTCAGTCTATATAGTAGGGGAAGATGGGAAGCAATGGCATGGTGCAATTGCAAAAACCGGAAAAACATCCTACTAGGCAGGCCATAAGCGTGTTTGAGCTCGATGAAGGAGAGAAAGACACCCCAAGGCATGATGTGTAGCAATATCTTAATGTCATACCAATCTCACACAGCAGGATCCGGCAGAGTGGTGTGTAGGGGGAGTAGGTGGTATTTATGCCATATTGAACCCTAGCCTGCTTCCATATTGTCAGGGTTGTCTGAATAGGGGTAGTGATGGCCAGGTTAGATTTCGGACCCCTATATACAAGGTTACTGAGCTCTGCATAGGAGCCCAGGATAGCCACTTCCAGGATCACCGCCGCATTGTCCCTAGGCTGGGAGAACCACCAGCACACCGTAATTAAGACAGCCGCCTGGTAGTACAGTAGAAAATTAGGCTGCGCCAGGCCACCACGATTGATTGGTAAATGTGAGGTAGATTGAGAGAGTCTAGGAGCTTCTACAGCTCAGAGAAACACAGATACAATACCATCCGCACGACTGAAAAAGGATTGTGGAATCTGTACAGCAGTTTGATGAGAAATTTAGGTAAAACATTTTTTTAGAAAGATTTGTGCAGCCAATGGCGCTAATAGGTAGGGAAGACCAGGCACCACATTTAGTCTGCAGATGTTGCAAAAGGGGAAGGAGATTTTATAGGGACAAAAGGAATGACAGGGTTCCCAACGCAAAAGGGAATAATATTGATTTTTCACAGTTTTTGTGCACTCCATAATAATGGCCGAAGCGATCGATAATGTCAAGCACCGCTTTAAAAGACAGATCACAGTCCTCCAGGTATAAAAAAGTGCCGTACAAGGAAACGAATACTTAATTTAAGAGTCTCTTGTTCTCTTTGAGAATAAATTACATCATCAGAGAGGTTAGTGAGGTTTTGTTTGAAGTTTTTACTTTTTGATAATATTTAAAAAACAAACATTCACAGCCTGGGCACAGATGAACGTTAAGTTTACAATTCATCACTAGTGTAAATGTCAGATGCAGAAATTAAGGTGCCCATCAAGTAAGTTGTTGTGTTCTGAGCTGGCAGAATAAAGAACTGTGTGGTGCATTTATTGGTCTTATTGACATCCTGTACATTTAGCAGAACCTACAGCAATGAATATTATATACATAAGACAAGATATAAAAGGTTAAAGTTGTATTCCAAATATGCACACAAAGGTGCTCTTCTCTTTTTTCGACCTTTGTAAATTTTCCTTCTGGTTATCTGGTAACCTTTGATGTGAAGGCGCTGCTTAATCCTAAATACTATTTTAAGGAGCCTCTGGGTAATAAATCATTAAAATGCAGAATGCGTAAACCAGAATATGTTTGAACATACTACTTTCTTTATCAAACTTAGAACCATCAGATAACTTACTTTGCTAGTTTGATTGATTAGAAATGAGGAATTTGAATATCATAGAATCAATAGACTTTATATGCATAAATTATAGGATTCAAAGATGTGATCAGATCACATACCTTTCATGACTGCATGACATGGTGACTGGTGTGGGGATTATGACCTGAGGCAGTTGATCAGCTTTCTCCTGTCCAAACAGGTACACTAGATGAAGTTCAGATGAGCCCAAAATCTGTAAATCGTGCCAATTTCTCACTGAGAAAAAAAATAGATTCCTTTAACATGGCAACTTACTACTTTTTGCTACATTTATTGTCATGTACAAGCAATTTTAAACAGAATTCCATGTTTCTAAGCTGGCCCAAACTATTTCCATTAAAATTACTAAGTGATGCAGCGGCTATGAGCACTGTATTATACTATAGTAGCATCAACTACATACAGTATGCAGCGCTGTATTTTGGCAGCAATATAAGCATCTTCCCATCTTCTGCCAGAACAAGATTGAGTCGGCCTGAATACTTCGCAGCTTCACTTATAAAAAGGATAATAGAATGCCAATTTTGTGTAATCCTGAATGGCACAATATATGTTATTTTAATCAAGTATATAAGACATTAAATGCTGGATACTGGTTCTGCACTGCCACAGTATATGAAAAGATATTCAAAGGCATTGTACACTTTCAAATGTTTATGTTGCTTTAACTAGGTATTAGATTTCATTCACACATCCATTAAAAAAAATACACAAGAGTTTTTTTTAAAAACAGAGTTAAACAGAGCTGCACTTTTTTCAATGGGGTCATTCATACAGGTGCGTAAACAAGAACTGCTATAATACATATCTATAATACAGAATCCAATAATCTACATCTAAGAACATGCGCTTAACGTGCTTTTGCGTTAGTAGGTGTGTACATTAAGTCTAAATAAAGGGGAAAAATAAATCATAAAAACAAGTTATGTATGCATGCACATCTTTACACATTTAACGTAGCTATACACAAGCATTTCCTGATCATTACAAAGGAACTTTTTTCCTAGAAAAAAATGTTTAATAACATCAGTAAACTTTTTATGGCCTTATGAATGAAGCCTTAGTGCAGTTACAGTATATTCCCTGTTTCATTTGTTTGCCTTACCTTGTAATGATGGGCCCACAATTTGTGGATTCAGAGAAGCCTACATCCACCTCCACCTAAAAACTGGAGGGTCGAGTCGCCTCTGCCAGATCATCCCCTGCAGTTATTACCATTTGTACCACCTCCCCCTTCCTTTCGATTGTAAGCTCCATGAGCAGGGCCTTCCTATTCCTTCTGTATTGAACTGTGTTGTATTTGTGCTGTCCTATTATATTGTAAAGCACTGCTCAAACTTTTGGCGCTATATAAATCCTGTATAATATTAATAATAATTCCAACCATTACTTTTTGTGACTGCTAAATGGAAAGGAACAGTATAGCAATGGTTATAGATCCTGACCTAGTCTTGTACTTTACATTATCAGAGACCAGAAATTACTGATCGTATCTAAGGGGTACATTTTGAGTTTCAAGCCAATTTTAATCACCACATATGAAAACAGAGGCATGAGCTGTTCTCACATGGACTGTCTCTAATTTGACTCCAGACTCTGAAAGCCTTGTCACCCCGGCTCAAGTGCAGTAGAACATGGAGACTGCCTGTACTGTATTGTATGTGTGTGTTTTGGTGGCAGGGGATCACCACATCCAAGCTCCATTCTTCCATGGGAACAAAGAAAGCCACCTATTACTTCTAGAGTAGTGTAATCAACTTGAGTTAAATTTGATACTGTGTAACTGCAAGTCTGATTTGTCCGATGTCTGATTTCTGTCTTTCATGTCAAAGTATCTCTGACTGAAACTCCCAACAGAACTAGTGCTTTCCAGATCACAAATTTAAAACCAGTGATAAAGCCCTGTTCTCCATGCACAACACTGAACAAGTGCTTAGCTAAACTAGAACCCAAATGTATTTAACATTAAACCAGAAAAACTTTTTTCATTTTTGATAGACTTATAACCCCGTCAGATTTCTTTTTCACCATCTGTGTCCCATTGCGGAAATTTCCTTTCACTTCCTGTCACATAGCCAAACAGAAAGTGAGAGGGAATCCCTGCAAATTAAGGAAATCCTTTGGGGCTCCCCAGTTCACCAGTACGTGTGTCACCATTAGAGGATTTCCCCTCTATTACTTTTCTGGGGACAACCCAAAATTTGGGTCCTTTGCTTTCACTTTCAATAGTAATTGGTAAACAGGACAAATAGAGAGGGTGAATCTCCCTTAAGGGGGCACAGACAGCAATAAAAATGGACAGCAGTTCTAATCCATCTCCACTCTATCCAAAACTAGAAAAAAAGTTTTGCCTTTAGCTATATTTTAAGCAGGCCATATACAGTCAGGTCCATAAATATTGGGACATCGACACAATTCTAAAATTTTTGGCTCTATACACCACGACAATGGATTTGAAATGAAACGAACAAGATGTTCTTTAACTGCAGACTGTCGGCTTTAATTTGAGGGTATTTACATCCAAATCAGGTGAACGGTGTAGGAATTACAACAGTTTGCATATATGCCTCCCACTTGTTAAGGGGCCAAAAGTAATGGGACAGAATAATAATCATAAATAAAACTTTCACTTTTTAATACTTGGTTGCAAATCCTTTGCAGTCAATGACAGCCTGAAGTCTGGAACGCATAGACATCACCAGACGCTGGGTTTCATCCCTGGTGATGCTCTGCCAGGCCTCTACTGCAACTGTCTTCAGTTCCTGCTTGTTCTTGGGGCATTTTCCCTTCAGTTTTGTCTTCAGCAAGTGAAATGCATGCTCAATCGGATTCAGGTCAGGTGATTGACTTGGCCATTGCATAACATTCCACTTCTTTCCCTTAAAAAACTCTTTAGTTGCTTTTGCAGTATGCTTTGGGTCATTGTCCATCTGCACTGTGAAGCGGCGTCCAATGAGTTCTGAAGCATTTGGCTGAATATGAGCAGATAATATTCCCGAAACACTTCACAATTCATCCGGCTGCTTTTGTCAGCAGTCACGTCATCAATAAATACAAGAGAACCAGTTCCATTGGCAGCCATACATGCCCACGCCATGACACTACCACCACCATGCTTCACTGATGAGGTGGTATGCTTAGGATCATGAGCAGTTCCTTTCCTTCTCCATACTCTTCTCTTCCCATCACTCTGGTACAAGTTGATCTTGGGCTCATCTGTCCATAGGATGTTGTTCCAGAACTGTGAAGGCTTTTTTAGATGTCGTTTGGCAAACTCTAATCTGGCCTTCCTGTTTTTGAGGCTCACCAATGGTTTACATCTTGTGGTGAACCCTCTGTATTCACTCTGGTGAAGTCTTCTCTTTATTGTTGACTTTGACACACGTACACCTACCTCCTGGAGAGTGTTCTTGATCTGGCCAACTGTTGTGAAGGGTGTTTTCTTCACCTGGGAAAGAATTCTTCAGTCATCCACCACAGTTGTTTTCCGTGGTCTTCTGGGTCTTTTGGTGTTGCTGAGGTCACCAGTGCGTTCCTTCTTTTTAAGAATGTTCCAAACAATTGTTTTGGCCACGCTTAATGTTTTTGCTATCTCTCTGATGGGTTTGTTTTGTTATTTCAGCCTAATGATGGCTTGCTTCACTGACAGTGACAGCTCTTTGGATCTCATATTGAGAGTTGACAGCAACAGATTTCAAATGCAAATAGCACACTTGAAATGAACTCTGGACCTTTTATCTGCTCATCCAGACTTCAGGCTGTAATTGACTGCAAAGGATTTGCAACCAAGTATTAAAAAGTGAAAGTTTGATTTATGATTATTATTCTGTCCCATTACTTTTGGCCCCTTAACAAGTGGGAGGCACATATGCAAACTGTTGTAATTCCTACACCGTTCACCTGATTTGGATGTAAATACCCTCAAATTAAAGCTGACAGTCTGCAGTTAAAGCACATCTTATTCGTTTCATTTTAAATCCATTGTGGTGGTGTATAGAGCCAAAAATGTTAGAATTGTGTCGATGTACCAATATTTATGGACCTGACTGTACGTGGATCAAAATTTGACTGGCTCAGCAGGGACCTACTGAATTTCGATCCATGCATGGGCAAGCTGATTGTACCCAATTGACTTGGGTACAACCAGCCTGTCGGATTTTTTTACATGCGATTAATCATTGTGATCTGACGGCTGGAAAGGATCCCCCGGCAGAACACAATAGATCCGCGGGCAGGATTCCCCTAACCAACACGAACTGTGTTGATGGGGGAATCAAGCGATTTTCTTTTCTTCCACCTGTGAAGAAAGGAAAGACAAGCGAATCATCTATCGGTTTCCTTACTCTATTGCCAATATGAATTATCTTACATACAAGCAGTCTCTTCCTCTGTCCTTCAGAATCTCCATCATGTTCAATGTTTTGTATCCTGAACTCTTATTTTGTTGACAGTCCCATGGTGTCTCCTCTTTCTTCCATTACAGTCTACTCAGATTTGCCATCTGACTTAGAGCTACACTATCACACATTACCATTACAATCTTCTACTTTACTGAACAAAGGTGTAATATTTCTTTGAATAAACTGTATGTTTCATAACATGCATTCATTTTGTATATTTAGAATTCTTTTTTTTGCTACTATGTTATTTTTCAAGGTGCTCTGGACTGCTCTGTTACTGGCACTCTATTTTCCTTCGTAGGTTCATGCTGCACATTGACTATTAATTTTTCTTTCCATTCAGCTCTCTGTAGCTGCATGAGGTGAGCCGGTCTTTAATTTAATGTATATGTCTATATGTATATTTTGTCTATGTTGGACACCAACAGTCACATGTTGCCTTTCTCCACATACATCACTGTCCAGTTACATGGGTTTATTGCGCTTAGGCCATAAGATTTGGAAAAGCAAGGCCATCTGAAACTGCTGAAGGGAAAAGGGAATGGAAAGGCTCATTTTAACAATGTACATGAGTATAACCTTTCCTTTTGGGGATTCTCTGTTTAAAAAAACATTTTGTGTAATAGCTAGCTTGTCTATAAACTATACAAACAGAATGTTGTCTGAGATGGACTTCATTTTATGTTTTCCAGATGGTATGCAGTGTACATTTAAGAGATGGCAAAACTTCTAACAAGAACGTGCTTCCCTGCTGTCTCCCATTCTGTTACATAAATCTGTACTGAAAAAGCAAAAACTGATAGCCATACAACAGTTAGACCTGTGTTTATGGGCTTTTGTTTGCTTCAGAACTGCTCCCCTTCCCACACATAAATACAAAATCAGCTTGAAGCAAGTTGAATGCTGGTCAGAAAGAGGTCAAATACACCTGTCACTGAATTCAGAATGCTTAAACTTATGTCAAAAGTAATTACACAGTCCACAGATCATCGACACAGGTGCCTTTGTTGGCTGAAATTGCAGCAAATCCAAAGTGAGAGGAGCTGGTGAAGCAGAAATCAAAAATTTCCAGAGAATACATACAATTTCTTTTCTGCAATAAAGGATTTTTTACCTTTCCTTCAAATTGTTTACACTGAACACTAAACTGTGCATGTGCAGCTCAATGTACAATCCCATGTAGCATAGTGAATTAACTTCCTTCCATGTTCGCCGAAGTTGAAACATCCCAGCCTGGTCAATCAAAATGGCCAAAGATATTGAACCTGGAAGAAAACAATGTCGGCAAAAGGAGATTGCTAACATTATATCACTGGAGTGGAGATAAAGATTTTCTTAACCACTTGAGCACCGGAGGGTTTTACCCACTTCATACCCAGGCCAATTTTTGCTATTCAGCACTGTCCTACTTTAACCAGCTGAGGACTGCCCTATAGCAGCTTTACTGCTACAGGGTGGCTGCTGTGTGCAGAATCCCATATATATATATACATGTGATTCTGCACTTCCTGGTAGGGTGTGCGCACCCTGCTTCTGGTTTGAATAGTTTCAGCAGAAGCTGATCAGCGGATGCCAGCCAATAGATAACTGCCTGCACCTGCTGATCGGTGAGGAGAGACAGGACACAGCTCTGCCTATGTAAACAAGGCAGAGCTGTGTCCTATCAGTGGCAATGTGCTGGATTTTGTTTCCCTGCAAAGTAGGGGATAAAATCCAACACATCCCTTAGTAAAAACACCATATAGTACACATGTAAACACTGGTTAGGCACATAGTTAACCCTTTGATCGCCCTAGATGATTAACCTCCTCCCAGCCAGTGCCATTAGTACAGTGACAGCATATATTTTTAGCACTGATCACAGTATTAGTGTCACTATTTGCCACAAATGTCAGTTAGTGTGAGATTGTCTGCCACAATATTGCAGTCCCGCTATAAGTCGCCACTTGACACCATTACTAGTTTAAAGAAAATAAAATAAAAATTCCACTATACAGAGGGAAAAATAAATATATTGAACACGTTATCATTTTTCTAGGTAAATATATTTCTATGGGTGATATTGACAGGAAATGTTCGCCACATGTCGGTAACAACCCATGCAATCCATACACACAAAGAAACCAAAACAAATAAGTTCAGAAATTAAGTTATGTGTAATAAAATGGAATGACAAAGGGAAAAGTATTGGACACATGAAGAAAGGGAGGTTCAAAAAGGCATGGAAAGCCAAGACACCAGCTGAAATCTATCAGTAATTAGAAAGCAATCCTGCCCCTCGTCAGTGCAAATTAATATCAGCTGGTTCAGTCTCAACTGATAGCCTATAAAAAGGTATCTCATTACCAAGGTGTCACACAAGAAACATCTCATGCTGGGTAAAAGCAAAGAGCTCTCTCAAGACCTTTGCAACTCTCTCCTCTCTCTCTCCTCTTGCTCCAGAAGCAATATATTGCAATACAATACCAATAAAGGCGAAGATTCACTTTACAATCAATGTGCAACTTATATGTTAAAAAGTACTTTAAAAAAGTAAACACTAAAGTTTATATATCTACAACATAAAAGTCCATTAAAGTGCTTATAACATGCCAAGAAAAGTGTCTTAGAGCTTCTTTGCTGTATTCAAAGTGCAGTTTCCACTCCAGTGTCTGTGTTCACGTGCTCCCCCTTCGGGTACCACATTCACCATCCATCCATGACCCCTTATGTTACTAAGCGGGTCTGCTAGTGCCCAGGGATTTCTCCTCCAGGTCTCCTTTTCCTCCATAGGGCAATGCCCAGATAACACCTTTCCAGGTAACAGCTCGTAATGGCATGGAACAGACCTCCTCAGTCAGCAGATTTATACTTGTAATGGCAGTGATCAGCGACTTATGGTAGGACTCTAATGGTGCGGTAGGCAAACTGACACTAACTGATGCTGGCTGGGAGGACTAAATGACTGAAACTGACATCACCAGGGACACCAATACAGCGATCAGTGAGAATACACTGTCACTGTACTAATGACACAAAAAACTGGTTGGGAAGCGGTTAACATCTAAGGGAGCTCAAAGGGTTAATTGTGTGCCTAACAATGTGTAATGTGCTGCTTTTTACTAAATATCTGTTTATACTTCCTACTTGTTTTGCTGGGGAGAAGAAACAATCAGATCGTTCCCTCTTTGTCAACACAAGGGTTCTGGGCTGTGATTGGACACAGCCAACCAGCAGGTCTCAGCCATGAATCATTGGCTGAAACCTGCTGACAAATCCCGCTGTGATTAGCCGGGTGGGAGGCACAGCTGACATATAGGCAGCATTTACAGTATAGAACCCAACTGTGTTTTAGAAAAAAAAACTGCTAGAAATCAGAAAATCCATGTACATTTATGTTACCATTTGTTTCAATCTGCAATATGGTTTGAAATGTATTTCTAGATCAAACATTAGGAATATGCTTTTACTTACCTTCCATAAGATCTATGTATACTAGAAATGCAGAATACACTTGGGAACTGTCAGCTACATCCAATGATATCATCTCCTTGAACTGTAAAAGAGAATTCAAAACAAAATTTAAAAGGAAATCCTGTTAAATTAACCGCTTGCCCTCCACCCTATAGCAGAAGTTCGGCTACACAGTGGCAGGGCTGCACAAAATCAAGTATATATACATGATTTGTATTCAAAGGTAGGGGGGATGCGCGCTGACCTAGCCACGCCGCTATTGGTTGCTAGAGATGTCAATCACAGGGTCCCAAGCCGGCGATTCCCCGCCGGCACTCGGCTATCATCAAGCAAAGCTGACAGGGGGAGAGACCTGTGTGTAAACACAGATCTCTCTGCCGTTAGGATGGACATGCTATTTTGCTGTGCAGAGAGATACAAACCAGCATGTCCCCCTAGTAAAACACAGCACACAGTAAAAAACACACAGCACACAGTTAACCCTTTGATTGCCCCAGATGTTAACCCCTTCCTGCTCAGTGTCATTAGTACAGTGTCAGTGCTTTTTATTAGCACTGATCACTGTGTTATGTCACTGGGGATGTCAGTGGCAGTCAGTTCCCACCCAGTGTCAGAAAGCCCACCGCAGTCACGCTATAAGTTGCTGATTGGCACCATTACTAGTATAAAAAAAAACCCAACAATTCCAGTATATATACCACCATTTGTAGACACTATAACTTTCACATAAACCAATTAATGTACACGTATTGGAATTTTTTTTAGCAAAGACATGCAGCAGAATACATTTTGGCCTAAATTTATGAAGAAATTAGATTTTTAACATTTTTTTACTGGATATATTTCGTAGCAAAAAGTAAAAAATATTGTTTTTTTTTTTTCAAAAATGTCAGTCTTTTTTTCTTTATAGCGCAGAAAATAAAAAATGCAGAGGTGGTCAGATACCACTGAAAGAAAGCTCTATTTGTGGGGAAAAAAAAAGGACTTAAATTTCATTTATGTACAGAGTTGCATGACCATGTATTTGTCAGTTAAAGTAACGCAGCTCAGTATAGCAAAAAATGGCCTGGTCAGGGGAGAGGGGTAAATCCTCTGAAGGGCAAGTGGTTAAGAAAAATTGCTGCAGATTGATGAATCTTCTCTGCTTCTGTTCTATGTGTGCTGAAAAGGATTATGTCAAAATAGTTTATAAGATCTATTTTAATAAAAGTACGGATAAAAGCAAAACTTTTTTTTGTACGGCTCCAGGGCCGTTAAAGGTTTTCAGGAAAATAGATGTGCAATTTACATCTCTAAAATGCTAGAAGATGCTCCATGAAGTTTGGGCCTATGTGGCTAGTCTGTGAAAAAACGTTTTACACCTGGTATCCTCACAGTTGGGAGGCGTAGCAGAATGCGTTTTGAGGTGTAATTCTAAGTATCACCATGCTGTGTGTTTGAAATATCTTAAACTGATACGAACGGTTCATTTTTGTTTTTTGTAAAATAACAATCATGTCATACTTACCTGCTCCGTGCAGTGGTTTTACACAGTGCAGCCTAGATCTTCCTCTTCTCGGGTCCCTTGCCAGTGCTCTTGGCTCCTTCTTTCTGTTGCACCTGAGCAGGCGTGTTCTGGAGACACTGCTCCGTGTGTCTATTCACCCCCCCCCCCCCCAATTGGCTGATTGGCTATGATTGACAGCAGAGGGAGCCAATGGCTCCCTCTTGTTGTCTCAGCCAATGAGGAGGCAAAGACCCAGAACAGCCGATGCTGTTGTGCACATCGATGGATCGCAATGCAGCTCGGGTAAGTATTGAGGGGGCTGGGGGCACTGCTGCACACAGAATCTTTTTTTACCTTCATGCATAGAATGCATGAAGTTAAATAACATTGGGCCTTTACAACCACTTCAACAAATTACAAATTTACGTAAAAATACATTTTCACTTTTCCTGCATTCTCCAAAAAACTTATGGCAAAAAGAAAAAAAAAATATTCAAAAGACTCACAATGCCTTTCAGAATATACCTTTGGGTGTTTTGCTTTTCAAACTTTGGTCATTTTTGGAGGTTTGGGGGTGTTTCTCCTGCCCTGGCACTCAAGAAATACACTGTGTACACAATTATTAGGCAAGTGAGTATTAGGCAAATCATAATTTGTATGCATATTGTCCAGCTTCAAACTGTATAAACCTGAATGCTTACTGTATTAAAGCATTTCAGGTGATGTGTATTTGTGTAATGAGGGATGGCTTAAGGAGATCAACACCCCATATCATAGCTGTGCACAATTATTAGGCAGCTTCTTTTCCTCAGGCAAAAAAAGAGATTTAACTGACTCTGAAAAGTGAAATAATTTTATTTTTTCTTACCTGTAAAATCCATTTCTTGGAGTACATCAAGGGACACAGAGCAGGCCATAATAATCACTATGTGGGTTATATGCCACCTATAGGTGAATGGACACTGGCCAACCAATCAAGCAGGAAACCCCCCCCCAAATAACCCCCACTACGCAGGAAGAACCTTATTTTTGTAGCAAGCAATGAAAATCCAGAAAGAGGGAAGGGACCTCTGTGTCCCGTGATGTACTCCAAGAAATGGATTTTACAGATATGTAGAAAAAAATCCAATTTTCTTCATCATACATCAAGGGACACAGAGCAGGCTATAATAATGACTATGTGGGATGTCCCAAAGCAATAACCTTTAGGGGTGGGTGACATCACAATAACCACCACCAACATCCCACAAGGAGTTATTCAGCTGTTCGAAAAAACACTGTGGTTAAAGGCAGAATCCTTCGTGGCTCTGACATCCACCTGGTAAAAACTTGTGAATGTATAAACCGAAGACCATATAGCACCCTTGCAAACCTGAGCAACTGATGCCTGGTGGCAGATAGCTCAATATGCCCCCATACTCCTGGTATAGTGTGCCTTCACCTAAAATGTCAAGCACCTGTGGTAGTTAGCCCTTGTAGATCGCCAACTCGGGGGTTCCCTAGGGTGCGAAGTCTAAGTCCCAACCTGCTTCTTCACCAAAGCCCCTGATGGTGGGGATGGGCTTGCAGCAAGCTAGTGCCGGGTCTTGGCCCCCAGCTGAAAATGCGGAGACCACTTGCGTGAGCAGAGTACAATGGCAGAAGACAACAAGAAATCCAATAGACAAGCTGAGGCCAGGATAGGCGGAAATCAAGCACAGCCGGTGACCGAAGCTGGGGTCGGTACACAGGTACTCAGATACAGGATACAGGAGTAGATACAAGCAGGAGCTCAAAGAACTAAGTTGTTCATGTAAAGTGGGCTAGACTGAGCTTATATAGACAAGCAAACTAGGAGGCGGGCCAGAAAGTGATGAAAGGGAAGGAAATAAAACACAGAATAGCAGGCGATGCCCATAGGTGAGCATAGAAAAACCACCCATGAAGGGAATCAGGAGGTAAGAATGCACACACAAGAAAATGCAGGCTAACTTGTGCCACAAAAGGGTGGAACCTTGTTCTTCAACCCATAAGATTGAATGATTAACTGAGGAATCCACTTAGAAATAGTTAATTTGGATGCCGCCTGTCCTCTCCTGGGATCTTCCAGCAAAATACACAAGGAATCAACCTTTCTAATCTGCGCCGTCTATCTCAAAAAGACCCCTACTGCCCGGACCACATCCAGGGCATACAAAGATCTTTCGTTTGCAGGCTGAGGCCTAGGAAAGAATGAAGGCAGAGCAATGTCCTGATTGAGATAAAATCTAGAAAGCACCTTTAGCAAAAAGGATGGATGAGGCTGTAACACCACCATATCCTGGTGTAAAACCAAAAGTGGTTCCCTACAAGAACGGGCTGCCAACTCCGATGCCCTTCTTGCAGAGGTAACTGTCACCAAAAACACAATCTTTTGAGTTAGCAGAGCTAACAGAATCTCCCTGATAGATTCAAATGGTTGTTTCTGTAAAACATGCAAGACCAAGTTCAAGCCCCAAGGACACAGGGGCTGTCTGACAGGAGGAACTGTATGCATCACTTCCTGTAAAAAAAAGTACGTACCAAAGAGTGAGAAGCGATCAGCCTTTGGAAGAAAACAGCCAAGTCTGAAATCTGACCCTTAATAGTACCAACAGCCAACTTCTTTTCTACTCCTGTCTGGAGAAAAGACAAAATTCTCCCAATCAAATATTTCTGGGGGTGCCAATTTCAACCCTCACACCAAGAAATACATGCCTTGAAAGTTTTATAATAAATGTTCCTAGAAACCAGCTTCCTATCGTTCAGCATTGTGTGGATAACCAAATCTGACACTCCCCTATCTTTTAAGATTTGGGTCTCAACAGCCATGCCGTCAAAATCGGTGACTATAAAACTGGGTGCAATATAGGTCCCTGAGACAGCAGGTCCTACCGATCTGGCAGAGGCCATGGATCGCCCACTGCTAGCCTGACAAAGTCCGCGTACCAATACCTCTTGGGCCAAGCTGGTGCCAATAATATCACCGGAATCACCTCATTCTGAATCCTGTGTAATAGCTGTGGGAGTAGCTGAATCAGGGGAAAAGCATATATTAGGGAAAACCAATCCCACGGTATCACCAAGGCATTTACCTGTATCACAAGAGGGTCCCGTGTCCTGGACACAAACCTGTCCACCTTGCTGTTGAACCTGTAAGCCAATAGATCTACATCCAGGTACCCCCAATGCTGGAAGATTACCAAGAACACCTCGGGATGCAGAGCCCATTTCCCCCCGAAACAACCGATGATGACTGAGGTAGTCCGCCTGCCAATTCTCTATCCCTGGAATGAATATTGCTGACAGAACTGGAACATGCTCTTCTGCCCAAGCTAGAATGTGATGTACCACCTCCTGAGCACTCCAGCTCTGGATACATCAACCGCCTTGGTGGTTGATGTATGCCACTGCCATAGCATTGGGTCGGACTGGACCCTGACTGGCCAACCCTGAAGCCTGGTCGTCCAAAATGTCAGGGCAAGCCGCACCGACCGAAGCTCTAGGATATTGATGGGAAGCATCCTATGCTGTGGCGACCATGTCCCCTGGATTGTGGTCCCTTTTAGAACAGCCCCCAACCCGAGAGGCTGGCATCG